TTCGATTTCGACTTGTCCTGCAATACAAGAGAAGGTTGAGCAGTCAATTTCGGTCGAACTTCATCAAAAGTAGCATGACTACTCGAGAACCAATCAGTCCACCATCGAGAGAAACCCACAGTGGACAAATAATTTGACTCGAAAGCGTAAGGGAAAAAGTGCATCGGGGTTTTTGGTAAAAGCTCAACAAGCTCCCGACTAAGTGTGGATTCAGTTAGTTTGGACTTTGGGGAGGTATCAAGAGAGAAGAAAGGCAAAGATTGGCTCAACCCAAATTGTCTCGAGAAGAGTTGGGGGTAATAGGTGACAAGCTTAAAATCTTTCGACTGAAAACCCGATACCAACACATCATGGGTCAAATAATTACTCCATATATCTATCAGCTCCGATTGCAACCCAGGAGTCGAGGCAGGGAATTTAGATTTAAACCAAATCGGCCCCCTAAGTTGGCCACTTGTTCGTCCAAGATTTACAGTAAATGGGGCCAAGGTTGAGTCGAAAGTAAATTTGGTTAACAAAAAATGAAGGTATTTATAGTAGGTAGCTTCATCAGACTTATGGCGAGGGTGACGAGAGGATAATCGGGCCCCTTCTATATTTACACTCGGGGGGACGGAAGAAATTCGAGGAAGGACACTCTCAAAAATCGAAGTGAGCCACAACTGTACAAACCAAACAGGGCCTGAAAAGTTCCCCGACGCTTTAGGTGTGTTCAAAATTTCGACAGCCTCGTCGAAAGTAGCATACACATGAGCTAGTAGCAGCTTAGCCAAACATATCCTAGGCTGACCTATGTGCAGGACATATGCAAGGTCAAACAAATGAGAGGAGATTTGGATGGATCGGGGGCAAAATACATGGGTGCATAACCAATACACCAAAAATGCTACATGCTCTTCATCAGTAACAGCTATCGAAGGGTCATCAACTAAATGTTTCTCAATGAAATGTCCGTAAGCCTTCGATTCCCAATCGATTTTGGACCTCAAAGAACTACTCGAAGGACATGCACCTTTAAAATACTTCTCCCCTATGGGCTTCAACCCAGTAATAGCCGCAATCTCGAAAAGGGTAGGCGACAGAGGGCCACAAGGCAACTCCAAAGCATGTAGGTCCTTGTTCCATAAATGCACCGCAGACAAAAACATCGCCATGTCCAAAAATGATAGATCGCATTGAGACAGATGCAAAAAGTCAGAAATTCCTATATCCCTCCAATGGTTCCCAAACTTGGCTTTTACTCTATCAAACCACCTAATGAATTGAGGCTTTTTGGAAGGAGGGCCCGTTCTATACACTTTAGAGGTAATATTCAGAAAATCAACCCTAATTTCAGGTTGATGAACCAAAGCCGGACTTGTTGAGAGGTTAAGAGGAGTAAAAATTTCATCGATAGGACGAAGAGGACCCCCAAAAGCAAAATTTACCCCCTCAGCAGTATAAGGAATAAGTACCTGCGTCTCAGCAATCTTGCGGGAAGCCTCCTCCATCAGAGGAACTGGAGCGAACCTCTGGTTGTTGATCTCCAGCAGGTTAGAGGGTAGTGAAGAAAGGGGTGGAGCAGAAAAGTCAGAAGATTTTGATGAGCTGGCCATTGTAGTGAGCTTAGGAAAACAGAAAGGGAAGAGTTAACGGATGAGGTAACAGGGACGAAGGCAGGAGCTCAAAGGAGAAGATGAAATTGCAAAGAGGGTGATAGTTCGCGTAAAGACTAGAGTAAAGATCAAGGAAAGGTTAAAGGGAAATCGTATGGGGAGTTGGAAGCGACGGAAGGGAAATGTAATTAATGTAACTTGTACTGAAAGGCAACAGACTGACGAGACGGCGACGTAAAGTGGAAAAGAAACCTAAAACCCCTTTTAACCCTAGAACCCCAGAAACCCTAAACCCTAAATCCTGTGGGCTTTCAAACACTAAGGCGAGAATATTGAAAGAATATAAAACAGAAATCATCTATATTCTTCCAAAGGGGGCATTTTGTTAGTGACAAATCGAGAAAAACGATCGAAATCGAAGGAAAGAAATGTGACTCGATAAGATAAACAAAAATTCATTCGATGTCTAATTAGAAATACGTAGCACATAGTATCGAGAAGCACAATTGAGAATCGAATGAATTATAATCAAATGACTATTGTCGAATAAAAACTAAGTCATATAAGACCATGGTTAAAAAGGAATCGTAAGCAATTCGAAGTTCTCGAAAAATACAGAATCGAGAGAAAAGAAAGCCAATATGGACATCGAGACTTTGGCCAAATCGTGAAAGGAAGTAAGTCGAATGTACGTATAAAGAGCAATTTTGAAATCATGGGAAAAGTCAGAGATCGTGAGAATGTGGGAAACTATAAAAGATAAACTGCCATACGCACGTAGAATGTGGTAGCAGTCGTGTTAACTGCTCTCGGAAGGCTTGAAGGATGCCCTATAAATAGAGCAAAGGAGGAAGGAACAAGGGGGGGCAGAAATTGGCAGAGAACAGGATCAGTAGTGAAAAGTCTACCGGAGAAACGACGAACACCATGAAGCTTCTGGCAATCTGGATTTCCTTGCTCACTGAGTACATTTACCGCTTTCTGTATTTTCCTTGGTAATTTATTTTGATGCAACTTAAATTCAGCAATTTTATGTTTCTGTATTTTCAGTTCCTTGTCCATTTCAATTCAAAGAAAATTTGAGTTTCTGCATTTAGATGTCCATGTTATTTAACATTCTGCAAATCTCAATTTCCTGTCATTTACTTTTCTTGCAATCTCGATTTCTTGTCATTTATATTTGCGTTGTTTTCGATTTCTTGCTATTTACAATTAATGCAAGTTTGGGGTTTTCGCACTTTACATTTCCTCGCAATTTAACATTATGCTTTTTCGATTCGATAGTCTTAATGCTTTCGATACTTTAAATACAAAACACCAAAAACAGTTTTCTTGATATCTTATGATTTTCGATCCTCATACACATTTTCGATTGAAAGTCAGACTGCTAGCCTAAGTAAAAAGAACTTACGTGGGAGGATTTCGATTAAAGACCAAAATACCCTTAGAATCGAAATCGATCGAAATTCCACCAGAAACAAATACCAACGTCACTTTAATTTTTTTTTTCTTGCTTTTCTTTAAGTTTCTCACACCCCTTTTTATCTTTTTCTTCGTCTAAACATATGATAGTGCTATTAGAGTCTAGTAAAACAATTCTAATTAATTGTAATTTTTAATAGAATAAGTTTTTTTTTATTTAGTTTTAGAATATTTACATGTAAGTATGTGATGTATGCATGTGGATTCTGTCAGTCAAAGGTGAATTATGACTAATCTAAACATATTGTGATATGTTTAATTTATTGATTGAATTTTACTATAAATAGAATTTGACTTCATGTCAATTTGAAAGTGTTTCGGTATGCTCATGAGTCTCATATCGCTTGAGTTGAGACTAAGGGTAGTTTATATACAATTTCCTCTCTTAACAAACTAAGATGTCTTTTAAGGGTAAAATTGTGATAGATGAGAGTTTTAAAACAGACAATATATCAGACATGAGAATTGATCCTAACGGTATTATCATAGTGAACATGAAATTGAGACAATCCCATTCCTAGACAGAACAAAAAGTTTTTAGGATTTTCTTGTAGATTGAAGAAATTTTCTTAGCATCCTAAGATAGATGATTTGAACTATGATGGTGATTTGGTGACATTGTTTTTGTAGAATTTTTTTTTGTAAATTTGATTGTTGATATTTGAATGTGATTGAATGAATTGATTTAACATAATGATGTGTTTGAAATAGTAGGTTATAATAACTATATATGGACTAGGTATGATAAAATTTTAGAAGGAAAATATTAGAGTCTCAAAGGAGAATGTTTGGTGTCTAGAAACTGGTTTGACACGATTTATGTAAGTTTGATATCCCCATATTTTGCTTAAGTAATAACTTGTCACTCAAGTGAAATGTGCAGTAGAGGTAAAGACTCATATAAAGTGTATTTTTACTCAAGTGAAAATGAGTTCAAGAGGTGAGAGACTTGCCTAGGTCTCATTTTCATTTAAACGAAAATATCTCGTTCAAGAGAAAAACTCCTAGTGATTTGAGACTTATTTTTTTTGTATATTTTGCTAAAGCAATAGGATACCTTGCTTAAGAAATTTTTTTCTAGAGAATAAGGTGATTTTCTGGAAGATTTTCGCTCAAGTAAGAATTTCTTGTTTTAAAAGGTTAAAAATGATAAAAATTAGAAATATAATGCAATTTCTTTGATGTATTGGGTATACATGTGACTTAGGATGTTAGAGTATGTCTTATGAACATGAAATGTGATGTGTTAAATGTTATTGTGTACATTAAAAATAAAAATATATATTATGTTGTAATATGAGAGTTTCCAAGATGTATCCTCCTATGTATAGTATAATCAATATTGAAATTGAAATTCAATGAGATTATTCTAACTCTATTGATCACTAGAATTACATAAATAAAGAGATCACTAGAGTTTATGGATGTTCCCATTACTTAATCTGAGACGTGTATTTCACTAGTTACATATAAGTATTATATATTTACCTTGATCATATGTGTGACGATGGTTTGATTTATTTGAACAAAAGTTATTAATTGACTTAGGTGGAGAAATGTGACAAGTGCAAAATCTTCGACTTTAATTTAATATCCAGTATTTATGTCCATGGGACATAATAGTTGGACTATATAGATGTGAGGCGATGTATCAAATCTAAAATGAATTTGTATAGTGTTAATAATGTAGACATGCATAAAATTATTGTTTTAGAATAAATTTCAATTTGACATGTCTATATTAAATTATTAGCTTATCACGTGTGTTTATTTTAAACTATGATGATCATATATTTATACATGAGCAAATGATGTAAGTGTCAGACCTTAGTAGGAGTAAACTTGAAATTAAAAGGATTTTAAATGTTTTTATTAAAACTTTGTTATTGTATTGTTATAATTTATACTATGCTAATTATGTAGGGGCACAACTCAAATCTTGAAGTGGAGGGAGGAAATTTGGGCACCCAAATACTAGAAGATAAGATTCAACCATCTAAATGTAAGGAAAGTTAAATATTTAACTAATAAGCTACCTAAACCAGATTGGTATGTATTTTGGAATGTAAGTATATGTTAGAATTGCATGTTTAGGTTATTCTAGTGTGACAATGAGTTTTTAATGCATATTATGGTGTGAATAAGTTATGTTAGGTATTGGACTATAAATTTGTTTAATGGATAAAACTCTCTGTATTCTAACTATCATCACTTAAGCAAAGTATTGGTCACTTGAGTAACAAACCAAATGGTGGAAGAAATGATTTAAATGATAACATTTTGTTTAAGGAAGAATTTATCACTTAATAAAAAATGTTACTAGATATAGATAATTGACAATATAATTGTCTCACTCCAGTGACACAAAAGCACCTAAAGCGAGATGTGCATAGGAAAAAAATGTTTCACCATGTATTTCACTCAATTGATAAGTGGTTGCTTAATCAAGATACTAACATGTGAAAGAGGGATTGATTTTGTTTGTTAGTCGCTCAAATAAGGAATAGACAAAATCAAAGAGACTAGTTATTAGAAGTATATCGCTCAAAAAACCAAAAGGCATAGTAATATACCTCTATATGAGCATGGATGTGTGGTGAAAGAATAATGAGTTGAGATCCAACGCATATGTGGAGATTGTGTGAGACTGAATTGAGTCAAATGTTGTTGCTTATAATTGACTAAGGTGTAAATGCATGGTTTAAGGTAAGTTAACCTAGGACATGTAGTCTAGAAATGACAACATATACTAAGGAGGTATTATGATGTAATAATATGATAACTATGTTTGTATGAATTTAATGAGATTTCAAGTTCCACTTATAGTCTTGATCATATAGACTAAGGTATCAATTAGTAAGGATTTGATGAGATAAGTGATGATGACTTGTCTTGATACTAGAACTATCAAAATGTGTGGCTCAACATAACTTAACCTCACCCTCACATGACAAATTAGAAAAATTGATGGTCTAATCTAACCTATATTTTAAAACAGATAATAATTTTAATATAATTTGGTCCTATGTTAAGTTAACAAACTAACAAGTTAATTTTTGTTTGATTGAAAATTTAAAAAATAATATATATATATATATATATATTAACATGTTTATATCAAAATAATTAATTAATAATTATGTAAATAAAAATAAAAAATATTTTTAAAAATTTTAAATTATATTAATAAAATTAATTTTATTTAAAATATAATAATTTAATATATAAATTATAGGAAAATAAGTTAGTTCAATATTAAAATAAGAATTAAAAACTTAATCTTTATTTTTAATAATTTATTGATCTAAAATAATAATTAATCTTAGTCATTATATATTAAAATAAGTTATTGTTCGATATTTATTTTTAGAAGAAGTAAATTTCTTATTAAATTAATTGATAATATATATATATATATATATATATATATATATTATAAAATAATATTATTTTTATTTTTATTTAAAATATAATTATTATTCTATAAAATAAATCTTTTATCCTAAATTCATGTAAATTATGATTTAAATAGGTTGAGTGAAATAGACCTATTTCAATTTAAACTATATATTTTTTATGTAATCTAACCTATTTATCTAATTTTGGACCGTTCCATCAATTTGATATTATGAAATATATATCATAATGATATATGATTTATTAATCTTTAGATAATTTACTATATTAAATGTTTAACTTATCTAAGGTTCTTGTTAATTGAACTTAACTACTGTAATCTTAAAATATTAACATAAGAGAAGAGACAATCATTCAACTACAGAAAATAGTTTATATGATAATTATATATATATATATATATATATATATATATATATATATATATATAATAGAAATTATTTGTATTAGTCAGTAAGTTTATTTCTTAACATTGATAATATTGACTTTTAGAATTATTATATTAAATAATTTTTAATTATTATTAAAAATATATTTTGTATTTATGGAAAATAATGCAATATATAATTTTTAAATTATTTATTAAATATATTCAAGATTAAGATAAGTTAAATAAATTAAGAAACTAAATAAATATTCCTAATTAGCAAGTGATGTTACCTTTTTAATTTAATAAAACTCTGTTAAAAGATTTAAATAATAATTAAAATTAACTGAATTAAAAAAATAAATTATTGTTAAAATAAATTTAATTTTTTAATATGTTTTTATTTTGAAAATTTTAAATGAAAAAAATTAAAATATTTTTCTATTAATAATTGTAAGTATATGTCAAAATAAACGACAAATATAAAAGGTTTTGCTCTTAGGATAAAATCAAAATTTTTATTATTGTCAAACATCTCTAAATCCTAAATTACTAAGACTATCAGTAACAATGTTAAAATTTGATGTTTTCTATTTAAACACATAATAATATATAATATAATTTTGAATAAGTTTTTCGCGAAAGTGTAAATATATAATTTTACATAACTTATTTTAGTGATTATAAAAAATGAGTAATTAAATAAATTATTTGTTTTAATTAATATTTAAATGTTAATATTTAGGTTAAAGTGATATTTAAAACATATTTTAATGTTATGTATGAACCATAATAAAGTTATTTATGATTAAATTTAGTAATTTATTCTATTATAAAAAATATTATTTTAACTCAATATATAATCGCAATAATAACTAATACAAATAAATTATTTAATTACTTTATTTTATACATATACCGAAAGAACTTACGTAAATTAAATAATCATACACATATACATACAATTATTAACAAAACCTTATTTATTAAACTAATTAAATAAATTTTAAGTATAAAAATAATTAACAAAAAATAACTTTTTAATAATAATTAATATTTGATTTTAATTATTTTAACTTGCTAAAAAAATTAAATTTTAAAAATTTAGTATGAAATTAGAAATACTTGTTAATTACTTAATTTGTTTAAATTAACTTAAGTTGAAATTTATTTAATAACTAAATTATAAATTAAATAATAATAAAAATTATTCACAAATATTAAATATTATTGTAATAACAACTAAAAATAATCTCATTTAATTTTAATTAATTACAATAAATACTAAAATTTAATGTTTAAAAATTTTAAAATAGGTGAAAGATCTATTCATGGCTAATTTCTCTTTTAATAACTAAAAAAAATTATAAAATGTGAGAAATCAGTTATTCACCGCCCAATTTCTAACTTTCACGTTACTACATATGTAAATAAAATGTTTTCCTTTCTACCATTAAATAAAGAGATTTGCCAAGAATTACACATAATAAACACGCAAATAATATTTTTTAATATTTATATTACAAAATTAATTATGTTTAGCAAAAAATATTAATATTTACTTTATTTTTTAATATAAATAAAAATATTTTATTCTTTGATGCTTGAACTAAGCAATTTTATAATTTTTTTTTTCTGAAATCTTCTTCAATCAAGAAAATACTAAAGTTATTTAGACAATTTTCTTTTTCTTTATACAGTATCCAACAAATTAGTGTTCCACACATTTATAATCCTTCCACGAAAACTATGACTTTCTGTTCATCTCGTGTTCCGTTTGTTTTTGGATTTGTTGCGATTGGAGAATGGTTTAATATGATGGGACAGAACACATGCACTTGTCAAACCAAATCCAAGTTTTCAATTTATCTACGTCTAACATGACGTATCATACCATTTTCATTCATCTTTTCTCCACAGAATATTGTAGATATCTTCTTTGCAAACGAAAAAAAAAAAAAAAAACTCATAATATGATAGATACTAATAGATTGAGATTATAAATACTTTATAACAAAAAAGTATAATTAATTAACATTTTAAAATATATTTCAGTGAAATATTTCATACTATCTAATTAATTTTTTCTTAAATAATATGAGTGAGTTATTTTTTATTAAATTAGCCCGACATTTTAAACAGTTTTCATGCGTTTCCGTTTTATATCATTTTTAAAAAATAAATATATTTATAATAAATTAATTTTAATATTTTATAAAAATTTTATACATAAATAAAAATATTTATAATTTTGTAATTGGTAATTATTTATTAATTAAATATATATTTTAATTTATTATATTTATATTAAAATATGTATATATAAAAAATTTAATTATAAAAATTTATAATATTATTATTATAATAATAATATTAATATATTTAAATATTTTATATATATATAAATTATTTTTTTTAAGTTGTTATGTTTTAAAAATATAAAATATATAATTTATAAGAAAATATTTAATAAATTAATTTTTATTTAATTAATTTAAAATATTAAATTTTTTTAAATTTTTTAAAATATAATTATTTTATTAAAATAAAATTTGATATATAATAAAAAAGAATAATAAAATCTAAAAAATATAATATAATAAAATTTAATAAAGATAAATTATAAATAAAATAATATTAATTATTAGTAAATTTAATAGAAAATATATAAAAAAAAGAAAAATTATTTTTTTATTAATTAAATTGATTGAAAAGATAAAAAAAGATTGGAGAGATTAAAAAATAAAAAAATAAAAAAAATGAAAAATAAGAGAAAAAATATAATATAATTAGTATAAAAAGTTAAAAAAATTAAAATAAAAATAAATAAAAATATAAAAAATAACTTTATATATAATAAACAAAATATTTTTAAAATATTAATATTTAAAATTAAATTTAAATATAAAATCCGATCTAATACGGGATAGAATCGTTCCCGTCCTATTCATTTCCAATTTTGAAAAACCTAAACCTATTTCCACTTCATCCAAATCAAACTTAATTCTTTCCTAGGAAACTCAGAAACTGGAATGAATAGATAGAATTGTCCTTCTTCCTAAAGTAAGTCATTAAAGTTGAAAAATAAGTAAAATATATTAAAAATATATAAAAGTAATATTATTTTCTAAGCTCACTATAAACTTAGATAAGACTAAAATACAACCCATATTTTACAAATATGATTAAAAACATAAATTATTTAAATAATTTATTAGATTATGTTGAATTCACCGTTTCAGCCCTTTAATACTTACATATTAAAATAATATTTTACAAATTTGAGAGATTTGAAAAAATATATTAGGAGACCAAAACTAAAATTATTCTAAATTTAGAGACCAAAATACAATTAAACTAAATCTAAATTACAAAATATTATAAAGTTTTTTTAAAAAGGTATAATTGATAAAATAGTTTATAATAATTGATCAAGTTTCAGTGAAATTTCTCGTTAAAATACTAAAAAAAGAAAATTAGTTTTGTTTGAGAAGGAGTGGTAAGAAATGTCCTGAAGAGTGTGCAATAATGTTAGAAGATAGATGTTCAAACTGATTACTTCTTTGATGTTCCACCTATTCTAACCACCTACTCTATTGCAAATATGTGTGTGAAATTGATAAGTAACCACCTATTCCTGTCACGTACTCTACTGCAGAAACGTGTAGCATGACTAATTAAAGCCTTCCTACTTTCACCAAACAATAATAATAATACAATGCTACAATATTGAAACGGGGTATCGTGATTGACCATATATTAATAAATAGTAATAACAAATAATATAAATCTTAATAAAATTATATTATATATATATATATATATATATTTATTTATTTATATCACAGTTTTAATAAGGTAGTGAAGATCCTACAAGATCATTAAAGTTTTACTTGAAACGCCACAAGGTTAATCTCTTGTAGCCAAAAACACAATCTTAACGAATCTAGTTAAGAAATCAACGTCGTAACACTAGTTAGCTAATACACTTATAATTACAAATATATTTGATAACAATTGTAGAAAAAAAAAAAAAAAAAACAATAGAATAACCAAATCACGTATTAAAGTAATAAAATCTTTCTCACTTAGAATGATATTTTTGTTTATATGAACTTGAAAAACTGATTTTGGTAAACACACTCTATAAAAAAATTCAAAACATATTAGCGTAGAGTAATCTTTATGTTGTTTTCGAATGTTTGTATGTTATTAAACAAGAAAATTTTGAGATCACTGCTTTTATAGACTGATAAGGTCAAATAGAATAAGTACTGGAAATTTTTATTAGTATGTTGTCTAAAATTTATTTATTACATTTTTTGCAATAATTAAATAAGGAATGCAATAATAAATTTAAAATTATTATCATTTTTACTGTCATTTAAAATTATAAAATTAATATTATCATCTTAACTTATTAATACAATAATTATTTTTATAATCACTATTCTCAAACCTCTTATTTGTTTGCTGTAGTAAAGTTAGAATTTTTCATTATTCTTTTCCTATTATATGTTTGACACCGTATTAATGACAACAAAAGTTTCAACATCTATATGTAATATATCTTTAATAGAACATTATCCAACTTATCATTCATCTTCTACTTATATTAATAGAAATTTTCCTAAGATAATTATCGCTAATATTATAATTCTCTTCGTGATGACGTCAAACATATTGGAGACCTTCACAAATAAGAAAAAGAGGGAGAGGATGTCTTAACTTTTGTTGTTATTTTCTCTCGCGACCATGTTGAGCTTGTTTAATGCATTTGTGATGAAAAGTCTTTGCGAAGGGAAGAAAAAGGAAGAGAATGAGGAGAAAAGTTGAATTGCGATGGAGAGAAGAAGGAAGAGAACTTTAATGAAAGAGGGGTGGAGAAAACAAATGAAAGAGATTTAATTACGTTAAGATAATATGAACAAAATAGTTTTAATTGAGAAATATAATGAGATATATGATAATAATTATAAAAATATTGTCATTAATAATTAATAATAACATACAATGATGATTCATTTTATAATTATCATTGTAGATGCTATGCGATGAGTCATCCTTAAAATTTATTAACAATTATTTGTTTATAATCATTGTCATATGTGTCGTACAATGACACTAATAAAAGGAATTATCATCTATGTTATATATGATGTTGATTATAAACAAATTGTCATTAATAAGTTGAAATTAATTTTAAAATAGGTATCATCACCTTAATTTACAGATGCATCAAATTGTTAGTGAATTATTAAGTCACTTGATCTACATACAAAGTAGAGATACACATTATCACCTGGATCCACGAGTGTGTCAAAAAACATCTTAACTACTAAGTCGTTATTAAATCATTCGATCTACGTGAACAATAAAATATATGCAAGTTTTAGTATATATATATATATATATATATCACATTATTTCCTGAATTCATGAATATGTCAGAAAATATCTTAATTGACAGGTCATCATTGGACAATAAAATCACTCTATTTACTTATACACAATAATGAATATAATTTTTGAAGTACATATATATTACATTATTGTCTAACCACTTAAAATTTAACTATTATAATTTATTTATATTAAATTTAATGATTGTTACTTGAACATATTAAATATAATAGTTGTGACTAAAATTCAATCTCTCATAAATAAAAAGATAAATTCTTCACAATTCTCACAAATCCAAACTCATGCATTCTCTCTCAAACACTCTCACACCTATTTGAGTTCTATTTTCTTATTGGATGAAAATTATATTTTCTTATATTATCCTTGTTCATTGTTACATTGATGGACAATTTCTACATAGAATGCGTCACGTTCAAATCAACAATAAAGATTCTTTTTCATTATTAAGAAATGAATACCGATGCAAAAACTGACAAATAAACTCATTAAATTGCTACATCATTCTGAAAGGTGAAAATTCCGTGTACGTTATATAATATCATAATTCATTTCTTTTAACTTTTCTTTTCATTGTCTTTACTATCACAGTTTTCTAAGTGTAAAAGGACTGGTTGATTGGCATGGCAGAGAAGGTATACTAATTTTTATACAATATTTTTTCAAAATGTTAACTGATAAAAGGAAATAACAAACAAGTGAGAAAATAACAAGTTTATTTTATTTTAAATATTAGTTAAGCATACCAAAGAAAAAATATATAAAAAAGTACAATTGCTACCTTAAATTGATTTGGATGTTATTGAGTAAAGTTTTATAATACATCTTTGATTTGATGCGTCAAACAAGGCTATGATAAAACTATTTTAGTAATTTTTTATTTTTATGTTAAAATGTGAATCTATAAATTTAAATATTAAATCAAATTATGGACATCAAAATATTTAGGTTCTCTTTTTTTATTTATCTCATTTATTTTACAATAAAATTAATAATTTATTATTTTACATATAATATAATAATTTCTCTTTATATATACCCGTCACACTAAAAGAAATGGCAAAAATGAAGTTTAGAAGTGATCCTCGAGAACTGAGTTTTAATTGTTTTTCCGATGTAACATAAGTATCTTTTCATTCAAAATTCGATTACCGAAAAGCACAATGAACATGAAAATAATGTTGAATGAGTGTATTTGGGTAATTAAATACTATTTTTTTTAAATCACTTTTCTATGATTTAATTATAAAAAAATATTATATGTAATTTTTTTTATTTATCATGTATTTTTAATATTATAAATTTATAGTTTATAATTTAAAAATTTAAAATATAACTCGTTAGTAGGAAATCGAAAAGCGATCAAAAATGAAGGAAAGAAAAATCGAGAAACATGTGATTGATCAGTAAAGCGAAAAGGTGGATGAGAAACCATTCGATGTCCAATTAGAAGGGCGTGACACATAAAAATCGAAAGTTAGAGTCGGAATCGGAGAAATAATAGTCAAAAGTTTATTGTGGAACAAACCAAGAAATTAGAAGTATATGATGCTAAGGTTAAAAGGAATCAAAAGTAATCCAAAGTTCTCGATAAAATCGAAGTCTAAATCGAAAGAAAGGTTAACCCGCATAAATATCAAAATCGTGGCCAGATCATAAAGAGAAGGAGTTAAACACGCACATAGGAAACAGTTTCTAAATCGTGGCAGAGGTTGAAGATCATGGGAACGTGGGTGCAGTTTTGACACCACGAAGAAGAAACTGCAACGCGCACGAAGAACGTGGTAGCAGCTTTGTTAACTCGCTCCTGGAAGGCTTGAATGATGCCTTATAAATAGAGCAGAGGAGGAAGGAATAAGGGGGAGCAGAAAATTGGCAGAGAACAGAATTAGTAGTGAGAAGTCTACCAGAACATGACGAACACCATGAAGCTTCTGGCAATCTGGATTTCCATGCTCATCGAGTACCTTTACCGCTTTCTTTACTTTCCTTGGTAATTTGTTTTTATGCACTTTATATTCAGCAATTTTATGTTTCTGTTCTTTCGATTCCTTGTCATTTCAATTCAATGAAAGCTAAGTTTCCGCGTTTAAGTTTCCTTGTTCTTTAACATTGATGCAGTTTCGATTTCCGGTATATTTTCTGCAATCTTGATTCCTTGCCATTTACATTTCCGTTCTTTCGATCCCTTGTCATTTACATTTAACGTATTTTTAAGGTTTCTGCATTTTATGGGTTTCAACAATTTAGTATCCTGTATTGTTTCTCGATTCAACGTTTTATTGCTTTCTGCATCTTAAATACAAAACACCAAAAAAGTAGCATTTTCGATACTTGGTAAGATTCGATCCTCATATGTATTTCGATTGAAAATTAATTTGCTAGCCTAAGTAAAAAGAACTTACGTGGTAGAATTTTGGTTAGTATCAAAACATCTCGAGGGTTGAAATCAATCGAAATTCCACCAGAAACAAATTGGCGCGCCAGGTAGGGGAAGCCTTGTGTTGAAAATACACAAAATTGGTTAGTTCGAAAGTGTATGAGATTAAGGAGTGGGAGAGTTATAAGCATGAGTCAAAATTCATCAAATAACCAGAGTAACAGTGAGGGTCTGAATGGTGTACATTCACCAAATACTGGGGGGCAAAGTCATAATGGGAATATGCCTGTAACATCGACAACTGCGAGTATGTCTATACCTGCGGGTAATGAACAAAATTTAGGCACCTTAGCAAATACCCAAGTAGGGTCTAGTGTGGTGATACCAAATAATATGCAAACTGTGGGAAACCCCACAACCACATATGAGTGGAAGACCTCCTGGGTTTTCACTTAATAATATAAGTGGAGCTGGAACTTCTTCAGCACAGCGGAATTCAAGATATAACTTAGGAATGCCTCAAACACTAGGTATGCCCCAAAATTTTGGAGTCCCTCCAAATTTAGGGACATCTCAAAACTTAACAATCCCCCTGAATTCAGGAAGTGGACAGAATTTAGGCACACAACAAACGCTTATAAATCTAGATCATAGAGGAAATCTAGATCATAGAGGAAATTTGGAACATGGAAGATACATATTCGATAGAGATTATCATCGATCCAATTTTGAGACTATCGAAAACACTAGTACTGGGATATCCAATAACTCATTAGGGATACTTAGACAACAAATGGATGAGAGCAATTTTGAGATGGTGAATATGTTATCACAACAGTTGACTACAGTTTTAAATCCATTAGTTCAAAACACTACTGCTAGTTTTGAGATATTAGCAGACCAAATGTCACGAATCGGGGATGCATTGGCTGTGCCTCGACAAACAAGGGTAGAAAATCATGCTAACCAGAATGCTAATATCAATCCCCCGTATCTATTGAGGAGAAATAGAAACAATGATCAACACCAACATGTGAGGAATGATATTTATGGGAATTTGAATGAGGGATTTCAAAATATGTACAATCAGAATAACATGTTAGGGCA